ACCCCAAGGCACATAATCGTTAGATTCACCAGGGTTGAAACGAAGGAGAGGATACTAAGGGCAGCCAGAGAGAAAGGTCAGATTACCTACAAAGGCAAGCCTATCAGACTTACAGCAGATCTCTCAGCAGAAACTCTACAGGCCAGAAGAGAGTGGGGGCCAATATTCAACATCCTCAAAGAACAGAACCTTCAGCCCAGAATTTCATATCCAGCCAAACTAAGCTTCACAACTGAAGGAAAAATAAAATCTTTTATGAACAAGCAAGAACTCAGAAATTTTATTACCACCAGGCCTGCTTTACAAGAGCTTCTGAAAGAAGCATTACACACAGAAAGAAACAACCAGTATTAGCCTTTCTAAAAATACACCAAAAAGTAAAGAGCACCAACATAAAGAAGAATTTACACCAACAAATGGATAAAACAGCCAGTCAACATCAAATGGCAGTAACCCTAAATTTAAATTGACTGAATTCCCAATCAAAAGACACAGCCAAAACCCAACGGCATGTTACATCCAGACCTGTTTCACGTGCAAGGATACACAAAGACTCAAAACAAAGGGATGGAGAAAGATTTACCAACCAAATGGAGAGCAAAAATAAATAATAAATAAATAAAAAGCAGGAGTTGCAATTCTTGTATCAGATAAAATAGATTTTAAAGCAACAAAGATATAGTGGTAAAAGGATCAATGCAACAACAAGAGCTAACGATCCTAACACCCAGATAGGAGACTTAGATTCAATGAGACAGAAAATTAATAAGGATATCAAGGACTCGAACTCAGATCCAGAACAAGTAAACTTAATAAATATTTATAGAGCTCTCCACTTCAAATACACAAAATATACATTCTTGTTAATACCACATCACACCTACCCATTAGTTTAAATGAAACATTGATTGGCCATTATTAATACCCAATTTTTTTCAAAATAAAGCAATATTTCCATTTACTCTCCCTCTTTCTCTTCCTCTTTCTTCCTCTCCTTTACTTTTTTTTTTTTTTCTTTCCTTCTCTCAAAAAAAAAGAAATCAACTTGTAAACCTCTAGATCCAGGTCGGCAATGTCTCTTTCATTGCTTGATTTCCTTTCTTCCCTTCCCTTCCCTCCCTCCCTCCCTCCTTCCCTCCCTCCTTCCCCGCTTCCTCCCTTCCTTCCTTCCTTCATCCCTTCCTTCCTCCCTACCGTCCTTATTCCCTTCCTTCCTGCCTTCCTCCCCCCACCAAAAAAAAAAAAAAGAATAAAATACCAACACCATTTTAAAATAATAAAATTAAAAATACTTGGATCTTAATATGACATTATTCCTAACAAACTACACTTCTGATGACACCATCTTCACATCTATCCATGCAGTTTTAGTTACAGGAATATTATAAGGATCTTCCAAGATCTCGGGCATTCAGGGTGGGATGGCCGTAGACTACAAGGATCTTACTCTAAGGTATTTTATTTATCATGTGGTCTCATGGACTGGGGTATGGGCCAGATGGTCTCTACAAACCCTTCTATTTCCTCTATGAAAAGGCTGCCTTTATGCTGTGTCTTAAAGGATAAACTGGATGTTGACAGAATAATCGTGGAAGAAGAATAATTCCAGGGAGGTCATCCTATTTAGAAAGATGATTCTTCTAGTAGGGAATGAAATAGAACAAAGATAAGAAAACAAACAAAAGGATTTCGGCAAAGCATAAATAGCAGAAAAATGAATGAGGGAAAGAAGTTGGGTATGGTGGCACGTGCCTGTAGTCCTAGCTACTCAAGAGGCTGAGGCACTTTTGAGTGCAGAGTTTGAGGCCAGCCTGGGCAACCCAGTGAGACCACCAATTCTTAAAAAAAAAAAAAAAAAAAAGACAGAAAGAATGAATAAATAATTATCTATCCAAAATTCTCAATAAAGATAAAAAAGATTTAGATGTGGCTTTTCTTGCTGAGAGAGTATGTTTGTGGGAGATGTATAAAAATAGAATGGCTGCTCAGTTTGCCAGGTAGATGTTTAGTGGACTGCTGACTCCACTTTTCTAGCATGCTTCAGTACACCCGGAGTGCCAAGCTGTGGTTTAATGATGGAGTCCAGCCTAAGGGAGAATCCAAAGACATTCTTTTGTGCATTGATGAGTATCACTCCAACCATCAGGAATAACTACCAGGCAGGCTGCTGGTCTGGCCATAATCAGGGGTAACAGTTCAAGCATGAACACACACATTTAAGAGCTTCTCCAGAAATAAGACCACAGGCTCAATTATCAAAATCCATGAGACACAGAAAAGAGAAGGAAAGAAACTGAAGGAGAGAAGTACAAGAAGTACACACATACAATGGACAGTATAGTTACAAATAAAAGCAAATCAGGGAAACATAACTATTTCTCCAGCATATTCTGTGAAACAATGAACAAAAATTAAAATAGATTAGACTTTTAAAAATAAATAGGGGACCAAACAAAATCCTCTATTACATGTATCAAAATTTAAGCTGAAGAACTTATTTCTCACAGTGTAAAATGGACTGATGCAACTATATTTGAGGTACTCTATTCACCTTTTTTTTAATTGAAACACAGTCTCACTCTGTTGCCCAGGCTGTAGTGCAGTGGTGCGATTTCAGCTCTCTGCAACCTCCACCTCCTAGGCTCAAACAATTCTCGTGTCTCAGCCTCCTGAGTAGCTAGAACTATAGGCATATGCCACCATGCCCAGCTAATTCTTGAATTTTTAGTAGAGACAGGGTTTCGCCATGTTGGCCAAGCTGGTCATGAAACTCCTGACCTCAAGTGATCTGCCTGCCTCCTGGCTAAGTTTTTGCATTTTTACTAGAAATGGGGTTTCACTATGTTGGCCAGGCTGGCCTCAAACTCCTAGCCTCAAGTGATCTGCCGCCTTGGCCTCCCAAAGTGTTGGAATTACAGGTGTGAGCCACAGCGCCTTGCCTCACTGTATGTTTAACTTATAATTTTTTTAAGATATGGAAGTGAAGAAAGCAAATAAAGGGTGGGTAGAGACAGAAGAGCTTAGATAAACTGGTTCTGTATTCACTGATCAAGAAAGATTAATAAGAACTACATTAAGATATATAAAAAATTTGAAGACAGTGAATAAGTGATACAAAGTATTTTCAGTTTGTATTAAATACAACAAAGAGAAACATTAATGGATCAACAGAAGCTAGCCTAGTGAGATTTTGAAAATATTTAGACTAAAACTAAAGAGAAATTCAAGAAGAACTACTGCATTCAAGAAGTCAGAATGAGATATAAGGAAGAAAAACAAGCAAAATGGAACTTCTGGTTCTACACAGTCATCACCTAGTAGCAGTCATGAAGAAAATCATACCTACTGAGGATACCTTAGTTTATAATCATAGTAGAGAAATCAAGAAGCACTTTAGAGTGTGGTTTAATGCAGAGAAACTGGCCTTTACATGCAGCCACAGCTGGACATAAAACATCTCATTATAAAACTACCCTCCTTGTAACTTTGGCAACTTCATCAAATCTGAGTCTTTATCTTATCTGTAAACAACAGCAATGATATCTACACCTTGCAAGATTACTGCAATGGAGGTGATGCACATACAGTACCTAGTAGAGCACCAAGTAGGGTTTGCTGTTAATACAATAAACCTTAATATTATTAGCCTTTTGATTATTGTGTAACAATGGAACCAATCCACAAATATTTATTAGGCATCGATTAGATGCCAATATGATGGTAGGAGGTGCTAGAAGGATACAGAAGACAGACTGCAGACATTTCTTTTAAAGGAGAAAAAAAAGAGAAAGTCTAGAAAACATGATATAAGGACTACAAAATATTTTAATAGCATTTTATTTCTGCAATTGTTTTTTTCCCAAGACTTTTCTTCTTGCTGAGACTGAAGCTTGAAAGTACATAAGACGGCCAGCCTTTATAAACATACTATATGAAAATATACACCAAATGCTAATAATACCAGTAACATAATGGTTTTTACACTAGGGGAAAAGAATTTGCATATATACAAAAAAGACTGTTACTAGGGCCACTAATCTAGGTTGGAACTGCCAAGGGAAATCCACAACCTAGAAGCCCATCCAAAATATCATAGGGGCTGGGTGCAGTGGCTGACATCTATAATCCCAGCCCACACTTTGGGAAGCGGAGGCAGGTAGATCACCTGAGGTCAGGAGTTTGAGACCACCCTGGCCAACATGATGAAACCCTGTCTCTAATAAAAAGACAAAAATTAGCCAGGCATGGTGGCATGCACCTGTAGTCCCAGCTATTTGGGAGGCTGAGGCATGAGAATCATTTGAACCCAGGAGGTGGAGGTTGCAGTGAGCCGAGATGGCACCACTGCACTCCAGCGTGGGTGACACAGCCAAACTCTGTCTCAAAAAATATATATGTATTGGCTGGGCACAGTGGCTCACGTCTGTAATCCCATCAGTTTGGGAGCCCAACGTGAGTGGATTAATACAGGTCAGGAGTTCAAGACCAGCGTGGCCAACACAGTAAAAACCATCTCTACTAAAAATACAAAATTAGTCAGGCGTGGTGGCATGGGCCTGTAATCCCAGCCTCTAAGGAGGCTGAGGCAGGAGAATCGCTTGAACCCAGGAGGCAGAGGTTGCAGTGAGCCGAGATCATGCCACTGCACTCCAGCTTAGGCAAAAAGAGCAAAACTCCCATCTCGAAAAAAAAAATAGGCCACTTCTTGGCCTATTATATTTTTGAAAAAATATCAGAAAAAGTACTGACATGACAGCTTGTTAAAAATGTCCCCTGCACACAACAATCCCTGTGACCCAGAGTGAAGGATGGCCAAAAAGCCAAGCCCTAAAGAGCATACAGCTTCAGAGGGCCAAGGCACACAAGTGAAAGAGCTCAAAGCTCAAAACACAAGAGGTGTCTGCTCAGAGGATTTAAAAGAATGAATTAAAAGTAAAAGTTCTTACATAATAAACTAAATACATAAATCTCAAATTAAGAATTAAATTATTTCCATTTACCTGATTGCTTAGAATTTCTTTCTTTCCACTGAATATTTTTGCATTTGATCTGGTTTTGTCTCTCTTTTCGGAGTCGTTCTAATCTTTGAGCTTGAAAAGAAATATTATAACTATAAGTTTGTCAATGAAAGTTTATCATAAACAAAGACATAATTAACTACCTTTACATGAATAAAGATGTTTTATATTGCATATGTAGAGAAAAAGTCATAAAATTTTAAAGGTGGCACCCCTGAAAAGCAAATACCAACAAAAACATGAAAATATTCTTGATTTATAATTGAAATTAGAGGATATAAAACACTAATAGAGATCATAAAGATAGTATTAACATGGAAGAGAATAATAAAATGTGAAAACTTCTGTGATTAATATGACATTTCATTGTATAAATCATTAATAACGGTCTTAAAGGAATTTTAATGCACAAATGAACTGAAGTGAATATTACATTACAGGAATAAAATTACTGTTATGAATTACTCTACTCGTTTCAAAAATTAAAGATAAATGAACTCAGACTAGACTATTAAAGTTTTAAATATAAAATCCTTTATCTAAAAATCATGAAAATTATAAAATGTCAAAGCTATATAAATTAGCATAGCTTTACTTCAGTGGGCTGAAACAGTTTATAGGTAGTAAAATAAATGATTTGTATCTTTGTAACATTAGTCAAATCTTAAAAAGAACAATTTTTCTTTTACAAAATTTTAAGATATGCTGCATGGATTAAAAAGTAAATTCTTTGGTCACTAACACAACCCACAATCTCAATTAATTATTAGCATCTAAGTGCTACCTAAAGAAATTTCAACAAGAGTCACCTAAAATTAGGCATCTGTGATTATATTGCCACTGGCTGATCAACCTTCAAAAATCAGTGAACTGATCCTTTAAAGAAATACTATCCAGCACCTACTTAACACTTGCTGCATACAGAGACCATAATGGAAAAGACAGTCACAATTGATGCCATCTCTTGAAATTAGTTTTCTCTTGCTAATCGACTTTTTATCCCAGCATATATCTAACAGAAAGTAAATAAATTTCTTTTTCAGCCTCTTTCAAGGTAGGAAATTATACACTTCTCTTAGCATTGTGGTAGGGAAACACTGAAAATAATCTTACCAGAAATTTAAACTATGCTGGGAAGAGCATTCTGACAATGTCACTATATCTAACCAAATTCCATTGAAGAAAAATACATTCAATTGCAATTAATAAATGTGAAGGGTACAGCTAAAGTAATACAATCATAAAGCTCTCAATTTAGCAGCATTCTCCTACTGAAATACATTCAACCTGTCATATATGATATCATCTCAATAACCTGCAAGGAAGTCAGTTTCAACTAGAGAACTGAGAATCAATGGTTCTAAATTATATTCAAACCTTCACTCAAATCCTATTTTGATAAAAGTTCCTTTAGATACTGGGAAATGCTATTAATTATTTTCATCATGAGAGCAAATTATTCTTATGTCTCAGATACTGAATTCTGAACCAAAACCTGAATGTGCCTTTCACTGTAAATTGTATCCAGTTCTACCTCCAATATCCCTTTATGTGCATTTTACATTTGGACCACGAAAATGAATGTGTATTTTCAGTGTTCTACCGTATCTCCTTGTCATTACCTTTCCTGTGAGTTAGCAGGTTACTGCTGCTAATTTGGAGATTATATTTTCTGATTATCTAAAAAAAAATTATCTTCTAGAATACCTGTCATATTATAACTACAATGTGTATTCTAAGTAATTTGTCTAAGTAAAATAAAAGTCCTTGGTTCATCACATTCCCCTTGAAAGGCCAACAAAAAATATAAGTGGGAAAAATGGGCAATAAGCTTTTAAAGCTAACAACTAAATACATGTATAGCAAAGCTGAGTGTTTTCAAGCCAGAAAAATCAAAAGGTGATCAATTTAAGAAAATAAAGGCCAAGTATCAAGAACAGGGGCCCCTTTCCTAATCTCACACCCTGTGTGTAGACTCCTACTAAAACCAGCCCTAACAAATACTCAGGTGTCTCCCCATTCCCCCACTCCCCATGATTCCTCCAGGGGGCAAGAAGTGCCTGCTCTCCTTGGGTGGTCACCTCTCTATATGAAAGGTTCTGGCCAGGCGCAGTGGCTCACGCCTATAATCCCAGCACTTTGGGAGGCTGAGGCGGGTAGATGACAAGGTCAAGAGATCGAGACCATCCTGGTCAACAAGGTGAAACCCTGTCTCTACTAAAAAATACAAAACTTAGCTGGGCACGATGGTGCGCACCTGTAGTCCCAGCTACTCGGGAGGCTGAGGCAGGAGAATTGCTTGAACCCAGAAGGCGGAGGTTGCGGTGGACCAAGATCGTGCCATTGCACTCCAGTCTGGGTAACAACAGCGAAATTCTGTCTCAAAAAAAAAAAATGAAAGGTTCTTTATTATGTCAACCTGAAGTCTGTCTCCAGGTAGTCTACCTACTAGGACTAATGTTGCTCTGTGAAGACACTCAAAGCCAGTCCACTTGCCTTTCTACATGATGACTTGTTAGAAACATCCAACATGTCTCTCCTAGCCAACTTTTCCACCTATCCCTCTTTCGTCTACTTCTAATAACATTCTAGAGGCCCTCTCCATTCACAGTGGCATAGATGGAGATGTTGCTCAGACTCACTCTTAGTTTCACACATGCCTGTTCCTATTAATACCCAGAAACTTCCCCAATAAGCCTATTCCAACATTATGCATTATTCCATAAGACTGTTTACTAATTTAAAACTCAGAAGGCATGACTAGAACACAATGTTTACCTGTGTTTGAGCGTCTTCTAATACCAAAGTCCCAACTTGAGGTAATATCGACTGACTGGGCATATACATAGCCCTGAGTCTCACCATTGCTTCCCTGAATTTCTGACCCACTGTCTCCAGGCATTGAAGGAGGATGAATCTTCTCTAGGTCAACATCATGATCAATGAGAACCATCTCACACATTCCCGTGTCATCACTGGTCACATGTGACTGTCGAATATGAGCTAGAATGATAGTTGGATTGTCCAAGAAGGCCATCCTTTCTGTGGGCCAATTTCCTTAAAAGGCTATTTTCTCCTCTTCATATTGTTTCACGAGCTCACCTACCTAGAAACATGATGTACACAGCAAATATTTAAGAATAAGCAGAAAATGACTGAATCCTTTTTCAAACAAATTCAGTGTAGTAAAATGCCACCTTGAAAATCAACATTTATCCCTGTACCGTGGAGCTTAAAAGAATTAAGTCTAAGCTGAAAGAAAATCCTTATAAGCACTAGGGGCTGCAGCTCTAGTCAATGAGATCTCCCCGGAATCAGAAAGGAAGGCTTACACTCTTGCAAAACAAATCACAGCAACTGCTTAGGCCACTCAAAGCATATAACTACTGTTAAAATGAAAAATTTTCCTTTCTTTCTCCCTTTACTATCATGCAATCTTCTCATTACTTTATAAGGCCATGGGGGAACAAGTTGTATTTTCCTCAAATGGTGTGCTAAAGTACAAAACTGTATTTCATCAGTTTACATTTCCCTTCCTGGCATATGGCTGTGAAGTATTTCAAAGGGCACAGACAATGCTTTCTGAGTTACTAGAAATTTTATAAAAATGTACTGCCAAATTAATTTTGCTCAATGAATATATTTTCCTTTCAAGATAGCTGGTTGTTTTTTTTGTTTGTTCGTTTTTTGAGATGGAGTTTCACTCTTGTTGCCCAGGCTGGAGTGCAGTGGCGTGATCTCAGCTCACTGCAACCTTCACCTCCTGGGTTCAAGTGATTCTAGTGCCTCAGCCTCCCAAGTAGCTGGGATTACAGTCATGCACCACCATGCCCAGCTAATACTGTATTTTTAGTAGAAACGGGTTTCTCCATGTTGGTCTGGCTGGTCTCGAACTCTTGACCCCAGGTAATCTGCCTGCCTCAGCCTCCCAAAGTGCTGGGATTACAGGCGTGAGCTACCGCGCCCGGCCCGTGCTTTAAAAATAAAACTTATAATCAAAATTACCTACTATACGATCAACTTCTTATTTTAGAAAATTATAAAAACTGCTTTCTCAGCCCTGTTAAAACTGTAATGAGGCCAGGCACAGTGATTCACACCTGTACTCTCAACCCTTTGGGAGGCTCAAGGGAGTCCAGGAGTTCAAGACCAACATGGGCAACATAAGCAAGACCGTATCTCTACAAAAAATATATACATTTTTAAAATTAGCTGGGCATGGTGGCACAGGCCTGTAGTCCTAGCTACTCAGGAGGCTAAGGTAGAGCGATCACTTGAGCCCCAGTATTCAAAGTTGCCATGAGCTATGACTGTACCACTGTACTCCAGCCTGGGTGACATAGTGAGACCTTGCCTTCCAAAACAAAACAGCTAAAAAATAAACAAATAAAAACCACTGTAATAATATTTATTCTAGTAACAAGACAGCAACCTCTCAGTTAAGTAAAAATACTCAACAAAGAAAATACTGCAGAACAATGGTTAGGTACTAGGCCCTAGAGACAGAACTGGGTTCAAATCCTGGCCCTATTACTTGTTAGCTATATAATCTTGGTCAAAATACTTAACCTTTTTGAGCCTCTTTTTTTCCCCTTCATTTATAGAATGGAAGCTTCAGGGATGAGAGGATATATAAAAGACAATGAAGGTAAAGTGCTCAAAAAAATACATGGCATATAATTAAATAAATATTAGCTATTAATAATTATAAAATATCAGTAATTTCAACTATCAATTCTTGCTTAAAGTAGTCCTAGAATATGTCAATATCTCATCTGTCTTTATTAAGTTCATGGCACATAAAATAAGTCTGTGCTTCCTTTGTGATGGAGGGTACTGCAAGTCATCTGAGTGATTTCCCTGCCCCTACAAAATCATTGTGAAGAACAAGGAATATGAAAGCTGAATTATGTTTCCAGGAACAGTCCTAGAAGTTATTTATTTTTAGAAGTACTTACAATACCAGATTTCCTTGTAATTTGTTTCTCCTAGAAATGGAACTAGCTAATAAATCCTTACAGCTAACTAAGGTTTTAAAAATTGTTGTCTGGAAACACATCATTCTGTTGACATCACCTAGTGGGCCTTAAAAGATACTGAGCTTATAGAGAGAAGTTTAACTGAGGAGCATCTCTAATCAAGCAAATTATATTAATCTTCACTTTTTTTCTCTTACTATACTCATTGAGTACTTATTTTACTCTGAGACTAATGAGAAATGCAAAAGTGAGTAAGGTATCCTGAATCAAAAAGTTAATAACCTAATACAGATCTAGTACCTCCCCTAATACCATGGGATTCTTTTAAGCATCAAATTTCTGAGATATTTCGTCCCTGAAACATTAGTGTCAATCTACCATTTTGGATATTTTGGATATAGTGTCAATCTACCATTAAGGATATTGATCAGAAGAAAATTATGAAATTAAGTGTGCATTTAAATTTTACTTGTAAAATACAAACTTTTCTATAACCATAAAAATGTATACACCACAGAATTATTTATAAATCAGAGTATTTACAGAATCATAGTATCACAGATCAGAGCTGCAAACATCCTTCTATAGCAATCACAATAAGCTGTCTTCCTTGCACGAAAGGAAGGCAACTAGTCTACCATCAGACAGGCAGGTACTTTCAAATTCATATTGAATAGTTCTCCCTTGCAAAAACAAGGGCTTTAATGCGAAGCCACACATTTAATACACTTGATCTTAGCCAAAGGCCGAGAAGCAATCACACATTCAATAGGTGTTCTGGTACCAAAAAGTCAAATGGCAAAAGGCAAAGCGACAAAAATATATTGAAGTGCCCTCAATAATAAAATCTTTTCTAGGGAAATAGATCACTTCTTTTGAAAACAAGAGGAATGGGTAAACACTTCTGAAAGCACACACCAACTTCTCAACTTTATCCTTCCAGAACAAATGCCTCAACAACAGCAGTTATCTTCTCTATTAGGACACCATGACTTCATACATTTAGGAAATCTGTATGACTCATTCAAAAAATATTTAGTCCCTACAAGCTCTGATACGGAACTCCCAAAGGACTGCTCCAGAAAATGTATTATTGTATATGTCCCTTTTTATCTACCATTATGTGGACTTAAAGACTTAGACTATAAGTGCCACAGGGTCCGTAACACCATATCTCTTCTGGCAACAAAGGTTGTTATACATGGAAGGAGTTCGATATATGCTGCTGTCTAACTTCCAAGGACTATCCAATTTTGTTGTAGAGATAAGTCATATGTGAATGTGCCAGGTGCAAGAGTGTGATTATAAATAAAGGACTGCGCCTTTTTCCCTAATACATGAGCACCTCTTCAATGTGCCCTTCCAAATTGTCACCCTGGGACACTATCAACTTATTCTAACAAGACTACTTCTCAAAACCCAAAGAATATTTTTAAAAATCTCCCAAAGAGCAGCAAATTATCATTTGAAGCTATGTTTGATTTCTAAGACAAAGACATTCAGGTTATGGATAAAAACAAATTGTACTCTCTGATCAGCTGTCTAAGGATCAAAAAGATTTTTTAAAAATCTAACTCTGGCAAGGATTCAGAGAAATGGGCACTCTCATGCACAATATGAAGGAATGAAAACTGGGACTTTTTAGAGGGTAATTTGGTAATATCTACCAAAATATAAAACATGAATACTATCTGGGCAATCCTATTTCTAGGATTTCCTCTAAGGAGCTAATTTACTCTAAGTAAAATTTTTACCTCAGGATAATTTGTAATACTGAAACTCTAAAAGGAACCTACAATAGTACACATATGCCATGACACATACATATAACACAATACTACGTTGCAATTAGCAATACATGGTAGAGGATGAACAAAATGTGGTATATACAAATAATGGAATATTATTCAGCCTTCGAACACAGGAAGTTCTGACACGTTACAACACAGATGAACCTCGAGAACATTATGCTAAGTGAAATAAGCCAATCGCAAAAGGACAAGTACTGTATAATTCCATTTATATGAGGTACTTAAGTAGTCAAACTGACAGAGACAGAAAATCTAATGGCAGTTGCTAGGGGCTGGAGGAAGAGAGTAATGGGGAAAAGTATTTAATGGGTACATTTCAGTTTAGGAAGATGGAGAAGTTATGGAGCTGGACAGTGCTGATGGTTGCACCATAATGTAAATGCACGTAATGCCACTGAGCTACACATTTAAAAATGGTTAAAATGATAAATTTTACATATAATTTATACCATGTATATCTTACAATTTACGATGTTTTAAGTTTAATAAAAAAAACTCTAGGAAACACCAGATTCAAACAAGTTAAAGAGGTTTTCTTCTTGCTTTTAAACTATGTACTAGGTGTACTGTGAATCTCCAAGAGTGAGGAATCTAGTAACACAATAACTTCCAAGGACAATATATTCCAAACTTACTTCATCTATAAATATTGTTTTTTTATAGGAATACTAAAACATATCAATGTATAACAGGGTTCCACAAAACAGTTTAGATGCTATTCTACACTTTCACAAATGCTGTTTCTTCAGGCCTTGAATGCCTTCCCTGGATGCTACCAACTCTTGATTCTCTGAGACAGTCAGACGTTTTTTGGCTGGGCATGGTGGCTCAAACCTGTAATCCCAGCACTTTGGGAGGCAGATCACTTGAGGTCAGGAGGATGAGACCAATCTGGCCAACATGTGAAACCTAATCTCTACTAAACATACAAAAATTAGCTGGGCGAGGTGGCACACACTTATAATTACAGCTATTCGGAAGGCCGAGGTGTAAGAATCGCTAGAATCTAGAAGGCAGAGGTTGCAGTAAGCCAAGATTGCACCACTGCCCTCCAGACTGGGCGCTGGAGCAAGACACCATCTAAAAAAAATAACAAGGCCGAGTTCAGCAGCTTTTGACTGTAATTCCAGCACTTTGGGAGGCCGAGGTGGGCGGATCACCTGAGATCAGGGGTTGGAGACCAGCCTGGTCAACACAGTGAAACCCATCTCTACTAAAAATATCAAAATTAGCGAGGCATGGTGGCGTGTGCCTATAGTCCTAGCTACTCGGGAAGCAGAGGCATAAAAATCGCTTGAACCTGGGAGACAAAGGTT